TTTTTTTTCAATTTATTATATTTATAAGTATGATGCATAAAAGTTAACATATAAGTAATGATTTTTAATGGTCTTTTTCTGCGCTATACGATAGTGGTAAAAGTTTTTCCAAAAAATTAACATTTGACCTTGAAATTCAAGGTAAAAGTTTTAATTTCGATATAGCTCAGAATCGGTTTTTGAAAACTTTTTCGATTGTCTAAACAGAAAGCTTGACTGATTCTGAGCTATATCAAAATTAAAACTTTTACCTTGAATTTCAAGGTCAAATGTTAATTTTTTGGAAAAACTTTTACCACTATCGTATAGCGCGGAAAAAGACCATTAAAAATCACTACTTATATGTTAACTTTTATGCATCATACTTATAAATATAATAAATTGAAAGAAAAACATTTTTAAAAAAGTCAAAATTTTGTAACTCTTTAACTCAAAAAATAGTTTATCAAATTCAAAAATACTTGATATTTAGACTTTCACTAACAATAACAACATTTCAGTAAAGTTTTGACCAAATTGGAAAACTTTTATTTTTTGGTCAGGACATTTCAGGAATTTTGCCCCATTTCTTTATCCATTTAACCTCAATATGGCGACCAACGCTGAAGATAAAAATGGATTAAAAAATCTGTAATTTCATACTTTTTCCAGCTTTGGACACAATATACACCAGGGGCAGGTACATTAGCTCGGATATTTTAATCGTGGAGAAGGAATTTTTATTCTGTGAAACTACTGCGAAGAGGTTCGATAGGAACGAAAACGTCAAAAACGCGTGTTTTATCGATAATACTGGCGGGTCCAGCATCACCGGGGATCCTAAAGCGACGGCCGAACTTGATCGAGGTCGATAATACAGTTTTGGTGATCCTGCTAGAAAAATCTATGTCAAACGGTGCTGCGCGCTCAACTTAAGAGAAAAAAAAGACAGAACATGTCCTCTGGTGTTATGTCTATCTCTCTTTCGCCTGTTACTTTTCTCTCTCTCAAGTTCCTACACCATCTTCTTCTTCTTCAGGCTCCAAGGATTCAGGCTTCTTGAATGAAGCCCATTAACCTTGCAGACATCGGCCTTCAGGGAGAGATTCCATTCGAGCTGTATTATCTCAGCCTGGGGATTATTCTCGATATTAGACAAAATTTCTTGTTTCATTGGGCTTCTTGCCGATCCTCAGTAGTGAGCATTCAGCGACCCACAACACAAACTCAACGATCCTTTTAAACCATTCATAAATTAATATTCAGCAATTTTTGGGCCTCAATTAAAAATTTGCATAAAGCATATGCAATTCTATTATCAATATTGCCAAGCAGGTATTCCACAGAAAAAGGTTGGGAGAGCTTACATTTTCTCATTGCACTAATAGTCCAACCACTATAGGATTTTAAAAAGAAAAAATTCCAACCAAGCTATAAATTGGTAAATACCATCATTTAGGCGATAGAAATGATGTCTGAAAAGTTCCCAACGTTCGCTTGTACGCTAAGCCTTTTATTGAGCGTAGAAGGGTTGAAATTTTGGTTTTTCGCGGTTATCTTCTTTCCTATCAGTTTTACGGCCAAAGCAGGTCTATAATAAAAGAAAGATGATAAAATTCTCTACAAAATTCTCTAATGGTCAATAGTTTTTGAGATAGATTTTTTTTAAGTGACCTCTTATTTTCGAGCGTTACGTAAATTTGTTCTGTCTTCGCGGATATCTCAAATTTGGATACATCTACGTGCAAAACGCACATAACAAGATCGAAAGAGTATTTAATTACCTACAAAATAGGATTTTATTGAATGTCGTACGATCGCTAATTCCGGAGATATCATTTTTTGAAGGCATTTTGACTTGCGAATATTTTGAAAATGAGTATGTTTCCTCGTTAATGTATCGGAAATATCTTATATACGGCTACTCCTACGCCAAAAATAGTTATCATCAAAATGAAAGATTATTATATTCCCTGCATTTTGGTTCTTTAATGATTTGTATACGGCTAATAATTACTGAAATACAGCTGAAAAATCTTTATTATACGTGTTTCTGCGTACATTTTTGTAAATAACTTACTTCTGATTTATCTGAGGTCAAAAATGCATAGAAATTATGTGGAAGCTGATAAAATTATCTTTAAAATGAGATCTTTTTTAACCTCGTCCGATGAATAGTTTCCGAGATACAGCCTTTGGAAAATTCCGTAATGTGCTGATTTTATGATAAAATCGGCCTTTTTGTATAAACAAACATATGTAATGACGATAGAAAAATTAATATCCATATTTTTCTATTAGTTTACATTTATATGTACACGATCCTGTATCGGCGATAGTTTAAAAAATTTAATTTTTGAAGAACAGTTGCTATAAAAATGCTTGTTTTTTGAGTTTTTGGCATAAAAAGGCGATTTGCGATACCTTTTTTGTAAATATCTTAATTTCTGCAAGGTACACGTAAAAAATACCTTAGATAAAAATTGGAGCTTATAAAATTTTCTTCAAAATGGTGGGTTGTTATACGCGATAAACGTTAACCGACATACCAGAAGTTTGAAAACGGGTTTCTTTTTACTAATTTGTGCTTTCATTTTCATGGTCGATAATAATAGCCAAA